GAGTAATTATGGAATATGAGTACCGTCGTGGCAGCAACGTGGCTTAGGCGGAACATTACACGCAACATTACACCGACATTTATGTTTACGGAGCGGATACAACAAACAAACGCACCATCTGTAGTGGTTTGCCGACTTCCGTTCTGGAAATATCGACTTCAAAAATGAAACCCGTGGTTGTCCGAAAGCTTTCTTTGACAATTTCGAATTATGGGCGATTGTGGAAGCTGATGATATTCAATCTACGGCTGAATTTGTAGCACCATTCGACGTTAGCATCAAAAAAATTGGTCTATTTGCGTCAAATTGGCAAGGTAAAAAAGCTTGACAAATGGGTGCCCCACAAACTCAATGATCGCTAGCGTGAAGTAAGCCTCGAAACGTGACAAGAACACGTAAACGGCATACAAACGAAGGATTTTTGAACCGCATTGTTATCTGCGATGAAAAATGAATTCTGTTTGGTAACCGCAAGCGCCCAGCGAGTAGTTGAATCCTGGTTCAGTATCTAAACAATGCCCTAAACTAATACTTACCCCTAGAAAAGCGATGGTCAGTGTTTGGTGTCTTATCGCCGTTGTGATTCATCACAGCTTTTTACTAAACAGGATGAGCATTACTGCAGATGTGTACTGTGAAGAACTGAACACAACGATGGGGAAGCTTGCACGTCTCCAACCAGTTTTGGTCAATAACTCGTCCCTGCTGCTCTAATCCATAGGGTTTTTCTAGCCTCATCTATAGTTACCTTGTGCAACACCCACGGGAATATGATAATGTATTCTCAAATGCCGCCACCGTGCAGAAAATTTTAGAACATTTTCGAAACTGTGTAATATAGTAAAATTTATTACAATCTTGTAACAAAAAATTGACACTGATACGAATTTACTTTAAACATTGAAATGTTTTTCTCAATTTTTATCACGCGTAGATATTATTATTCAATAAATGTTTCAGTATAACTGAATCATGGATTTAAAGTGGTAAAGCCATGATACAGTTATATTAATAGTATAGCTGTAGCACGAACGTGTCTTTTCGACCGGATAGGACAATGCTCTCACAGAATATAATACTATCACAGCGTATAATAGCAGCTTAATGCTGCTGTGTTTCGTATGATGAGTGTAGAGAAGCGGAGAAGCTTTTTACTGGAAAAGAGGCGTTCCATCTTAGTCCTCACGGCTGACAACGCATATGCATTTTGATTCTCAAACGAACCGCGTATTGGTCTGGTGTAGACGAGAACGAACGGGCATGCCAGGGGAGTCGGTTTCATCCTTTCAGAAAGAATGGGTCAATGTGTGAAAGAGTATGAATGTGTAAGCCCGAGGCTGCTATGGATACGAATGAAAGTGGGCTTAAAGAAGCTGTTCTTGCTAAGGGTGTACGCCCCAAACATGTCTAAGCCCACTTACATCCGATAGCAGTTTTGGGACATGGTAAGGATGGTATTTACAAAATGTAAGGAAAATGAAAATATTATTATGTTAGGAGACTTTAATGGAAGGGTTGGGGTGAAGAGGTCTGGTTATGAAAGGATATTGGGAACGTTTGGTGATGAAAGTATAAATAAGAATGGTGAAGACCTCCTCACCGTATGTTTTGAAAAAGAATCTCTTTGTGACGAATACTTTTTTTCGTCATAAGAAGATTCACATGTATACATGGTGTGACGGCCCAATATTACTATTAATAATTAAATTCAATATAAAGGGGCGTCAAAAATAGTCTTAAAAGATATATATTAAACAATAAAATTACGTTAATAACCATAAAGTTAATATAAATACATTTCAGACATTAGACCAATAACATAGTAAATTAAAGGCAAAATATTGTCTTCCATAATAAATAAATTTATTAAAAACTTGAAAAAATATTTAAAATAAGATAATTAATAGAAATACAAGTCGAAAATATTATAAAAATAAAGATAAATAACATTTATAAGATAATTAGAAAATTTGTCGAAAATTGTCTAAGTCGTGGAAGGAGTTCATGTATAAAAGAAAATTTTCCTAAGTTGTTGAAAGAGTTCGTGTATAAAAGAAATTTCCTAAGTTGTGGAAGGAGTTCACGTATAAAAGAAAAGTTTCCTAAGTTATGTAAGGTGTTCATGTATAGATGTCTTGTATAGAGGAGCTGCCGGAGATACATACCTGCAGTTGTACATATTTATGGGGTGGTCGGGAGCCCGACTGCCTGAAGTACTGTAGCACAATGACTAGTCCTATATTAGGGACTTATGATAATAAACTCAATGATACAAAAGCAATACTATAGAAGGTCTCTATGATGAATATGCATTACAATAGTAGGGTCGTGGGTTCGAACCCTATATACTAATGACTTATGAAAGTAAGGTCTATGATACAAAAGCAATAGTTTAGAAGGTCTCTTTGATTAATATGCATTACAATAGTAGGGTCGTGGGTTCGAACCCCATATATTAATGACTTATGAAAGTAACGTCTATGATACAAAAGCAATATTA